ATTCTGGGAGTTGAACTCCACACATCTTCAAGTCACCAAGGTTGAGGAACCCCGACTTAAAAGACCCAGAAGCTGCCTTTGCACAACAGGCTAACCTTAGTTATTAGCATTTCTGGGTGTAGCAAGTTGTGTAATCTCAGATCATGGATTAGCTCATGATTCATGGTACGGTGTGATCCCAGAAAATGGGTTCATTCAGTAGAGTCTGTTGTGCAGAGTCTCCATTTGTTGTCGGCAGTTCAAAACCACAACGGCGGTTCCTGCCTTGCCTTTCCTAACCGGCATGCTTGCCCCACATGAACACAGCAGAGAGACAGCGTCTCCCTGTCTTTCCGTGAAAAGCAAAACCAAGAGTCATAATAAAAGTTCAACCCTTTGGCATCACACTGCTCAATTCTCTGCACATGCTCAGGTGCCAGGGCTTGCAAGTACAACGTTGTGGAGAGGCCAATGTGCACTTACCTGCCACTCTGCATTTCCCAAGAATGCGGAATCATCCACAAGAGTGTGTGATGAGGCAGACAGAATATATACGGGCCAGTTGTATTTTCTTTTCCTAGAGAAGACCCCTACTTCCTCAGCACAACTTTGACCCCACTCTGACAACTTTCTTAGACTTTCCTTTTGGAGCTGCTGTCAAACTCACCACCCCAGAATTCGCACTTCTGAGACCGCAAGACCTCCCCTATGAGCACTGACTTCTGAAATATGATCTCTTCCTCTCCCATTTGCAAATTTGGGATACAGAGATGGGATTCAATCACCAAAGAGAGAAGTCTGAATTAGTGCAGCCAAGAGCTCTTCCCCTGCTGATAAAAGGTGAAGTTTTGTGACAATGGGGGCTCCAGATTCAGTTTAGCGCACAGTAGAGAATGGGCACGTGAACTTATGTTTCGTACAAAGCTCACACACTTCACAGCGAAGCACACTGGCGTCACTGTGTTTCTCCTGCAGAATGTTTAGTGCTCCGCAAAGTTCCATGGAGGATCCAAGCTCAATTTTAAATACTGTGAACGGTAACTCAGATTCAAGCACAACCCCTTCTGTGAAGTTTGAAGGTGGAGGAAAGAACAACCCAATACTTGCAGAGCTGAAAAACTCAGTAAGTGCTTTAAATGTGATTTTGTACCCAAACTTATTTCCTTAAAGTATTTCCATTTGCTTTTCTATCGGAAGGCACAAAAGTCCTCGGCTACCTCAGCGGGTGGCGTTTGGACAAGATGCTCCTTCGAGGAGTAATGCAAGAAGTCCTGGTTCTACCAAAAAAGGCCCCTATAGGCCAACAATACGATGTCCCCCCCATCTCAAATGCATTACCTATGAACCCCGGTTACACTCTCTTCTACAATGCCCTTGATTTTCTTGAACATGTTTGGGTACTTCTTATAGATCCAGTGTGTGAGATCCCCACCATCATCCAGGATCTGCAAGACAAAAGTGTTATTGTCCACAGGTAAATGTGACTGTGTGGCTATGACAACAGGCTTGAAAGTATTATTATTAAGGTGGGTCACATAGTCAGCCAGATGTTTAGACCGGATTTGGCATTTTTATCCACCCATCAAGTCTTTCCCAAGGACCTGGGATAGGCAGATGTTGTTGTTTGATGGGGTTCAAGGTATTGTCGCAGGATGGAAGCTGTTCCAAGTAAAGCTCCTTTTGCAATGGACGGATGGTGGTTTTGTCAATGCCGATGGTCTTCAAGGGGTGCTCTAGATGTTTTGGGATTGCACCCAAGGTGGTTACAACTATCAGCACTATGTTGTTGCAGTCACCCACTCCAGTCTTTTCAATGGCTAGTCCAAAATACAGGTTTATACTATATTCTAAAGGCTCCTGCAAGAAAAAACAATGGCTGCTGAGGCCACAGGCTGATCCAGGGGAAGGCAGCCTTCCTCCAGCTGGGTGGAATGAATCTCCCTTAGTCCTGCAGTCCGCAGAGTCACCCTCATGCGAACACAAATTCCACCCCCCTCGCTGAAGCTGCACCCCAACTGAGAAAGGCTGAAGTGGGAGTCCACAGCTGGGAAGGACCATCAAAATCCTCCCAGGGCTTATTTCACTGTCTAGAGGTTTTTTGATTAGGGCGGTCCACAAATGGCATTAGATAAACACGCACGCATGCCTGGGGACAGAAGCTGGGCAATACAAGAAATGCAGTTGGAGCATCAGGTCAGGAGGCCCTGGGAGTTTCAAGCTGACATCTGAACCTCTCTCCTTCTTTGGGGGGCAGGGGGCAGGCTGCCGAGCACACCCTTGCTGGTAGGGACAACACTTAAAGTTCAACACAGGGAAACGGTTCCCAGTTCCCAATCCTTGGCTCAGATCACGCTGCCTTCCAACTCAACGGATTAGCAGCCGTGCATAAACTGTGCAGAGCAACGCTCGTTCCACCCACCCGCCCTCACAATCAAGGCTCCAGCTCATTAATCTCCAGTTAATTAAGAATGTTGTATAATCCACTTTTCTCTCTTGAAGTACCTAATAGGCTAGAGCAGCACTTTTTGGCAAGCTTTTCCTGATCTTTTCTGGGAAAGAAGAACATGGACTGCAGCCCAAGTTCGCTGGTTCCCGGGGAGGAAGAAGTGGGGTGTCCTTTGGCCAGGACAAGAGCCTGATGCGATCTTGGTGCCTCCATCTTTATGCTGCCCTTGTCCTCAAATGGCACAGCCAACATGGGGCCGAGCACAGCCACTTCACAAAGACATGCAAGTCCTTCTCTGATGGACTTTCAACTTAGAATTTGGCTCTGGGGAGACAACAAACTAAGGAGAGGCTAAGGTTTGTTAAAGCAGCAATGGGGGAAGTAGCAGGTTCTCCCTCAGAAGGATAAGATGGCACAATTCAAGCCAATTACCCCAACCCTGCAAAAACAGCCTCTCCCAACAAGATGTTTTCTGGTCAAGCGGGACTAGAACTTCTCTAATGGCCAACCTGGCAGGTTACACACTTCATGCTCTAATGCTTAGTTGACCTTTATCAAAAAAAGCAAAGTGGAGGTTGAGCCTGGGTAGTCCTTGGACATGTCTGTGAAGTCCCCAAGAGTTGAGTGTGCCTAGAGGGAGTCTTCACCTTCCTTTAGACTAACAGTCTCGGGGGGGCACCACTTTAAGAGAGACTGATACAAAAGATGGACAGCCATCCTGGGATGCTGAAGCTTAATTGGCACCAGGAGCACAGAAAGAACTACAAGAAGCTGCAGTGAATTTAGGGAATTTTGAAAAGCAGCCAGGCTTCTTGTGGTGCCTTCATTCAGGGAAGCCAGCTCCATCTTCTTCTCCAGTTTAGAAGAGGCTATTTATCCTCTGGAGATCCTGTCTCCGACTGTTGGAGTGGAAAGCAGGATCTGATCTCAGCAGGGTGGTAAACTTAGCTTTGTTGACTCAGTGTCTGCTGTCCACCCTCTTCCCCATGAATGATGAGATTCTTGGTGACTGAAAACCAACTCCTCTAACTCTGAATCTGCAAGCCATTTCCCTCACAAGGAGATTAACATCTAATTGCATTTGCACCCAGCACCACAAGAACATTATGTTCCGATCAGCCACCCTGTCCAAGAATTCTCATTAACCTTTCACAGCACCTGCCCCCTTCCCAAATCAATCCCACCTACTTAGTAATCCAAGGCTCAAAGGCCCTCGGGGGGCACCCAAGGGTCACCTCTAGCCATGTGCTGTAATTACGTATTATTTTCTCCAAATAATATATGCAAGATAAGTAATAAGCACATTAACATCATCATTACTGCTAACAAACATCTACTGTGACCTGAGAATCAGAGAACGTATGAGCCGGAAAGGTCTCTCCAGTCATCCAGGCCAATCCTGTGCCCAGGACAGAATTCACTTGGGCACCCCTGGCAGGGGGCCATCCAGCTCTCGGGAAGGGGGGTGTCTCTCCCTGTTCTAGGTTAATGGCTGGGCTGCTCCTTTGCAGCCTCTGACACCGCTGTCTTGTTTCCACTAAAGCGACCTCTGGGACTGCTGGCACATTTTGCCTATAGAAGCCCCCAGGCAGAGGGCCTGGAAAGTCTCAATTAAGCCACCTGCGGCAGCAGAAGCATTTTCAGGCTGTTGAAATCCCCTGAAGAATAATTTGCTCTAGGAAAGAGAGGGGCAACCTGAAGCTCGAAGTTGTCCGCGACCTTCAGCACACCTCTGAAATTGTGGAGGCTGCTAAACTCCACCAGGTGGCAGCAAAGAGATGCCGAGCACTCGGAACGACTTGTGGCATCTGGTGGCCAAGTGCATTTTTGCAGCCCAGATCCAGTAGCCTTATCAAAGTGACCCCAAACCCTGCCACCGTCCGGGTTTAATAGGAAAAAAGGGGAAATGACTGGATATCTGAATGGGGCGTGGTCGCACTCAGTATTTCATACACTATGTCCTTTAATAAATTTCCCCAGCCGTTGGGACCAGGATGTTAGTGGAGCCTGGTATATGTCTTTGATTTTTCTGCTTTACAGAATTTGTAAGGCGGCCCCAAATATGCCTTTTTAACAGGTTGTTTTTCATCTGTGTTTATTCTGTCGCTCAGAGTTTTTGGTTAAGAAGGGTAGCTATATAAATTTGCCATGTAATGGATGAATTAATTCTAATTAACTTTAAAGGAAAGGAAATTTAGTTTTGCCCCTCAGCCCAATCCCTTCTTGGTCCTTTTTTGTGTGAGAGCATGACCTTGGGCTGAAAAAGTTGGCCTTTTTATTGGGCTGAAAAAGCTGATGCCCTGCTCTGGGTGGCTTCGGTGTAAGATCACACGGTCACGAGGAACAGCATCCGGCCAGAGTTCCTATCCTTGCAGAAGTGTCTGGGTTGATCAGCTGCTCTCCCTCCCTTTTCCTGAGCATTAAGCCTTGCAGTGCGGATGAGAACGGGTGTTCCTCCAGCACGCCTTCCTTGGTCTGGCGTCAAAATGCAATTCTTACATTGCAAAGCATTCCAGCAAAGGAACATTTTTGCTGCCACCTTCCAGCAGAGAAGAAATCCACTCTTTTACTAAAGTTAGAGCTGACAAAAAATGTGAACCAGCCACAAAACATGATGCTTTCACTAGTTCCTGGAGTTGGAGACAGAAGCTGTAGGCTTCTCGCTTGCAGTAGCAAGGTTCAGGATCGAGAAAACACTGCTGACAAACCGAACAACTGTGCTGCCTTCCATGTTACGGAGGCCTCACAACAAGCCTTCCGCATCTGACTGAGGTACCAAGCCAAGAAGAAGAACGTTCAGGTTCTCCCTACTCCTTGGTCCACACAGCGCATGGAAACGCTGTACGACCTGCAGTGCTTTAGTGGGCAGAAAGCATTCAATTCTTCATTGCCGTCTTTCAGAATACATCACCCCTACCCAGAAAATAAGCTGTTTCAAATGAAAGCAATACTGGATTTTACTCTAGTGCCTCGTTGTTGCCCCACAGTATCAGTCCAGGGAGAATGACTCCAGATGCATCTGCAGCAAGACTGCCTGAACTGAATGCCCACGTTGGCTTGGTCGGGCATCAGTGGGAGTAAAAGTCCCAACACGTTTGGAGCCCGCCAGCTTGGGAAAGGCGGAATTGGAGGTTCAGTTAAGTACAGTGAAAAAGTATTTCTTAATATCTTCCCACATATCTTCACAGAGCCTCTCAAATGTGGACCCATTTTGCCATTTTGGAATGAATGCTGGCCCTGGGGTCAAGGGGCAAAATGCACCCCAAATCGGGCAATGGGGAGGTTCTGAAGAGGAAAAATGGGCACCCCTAAGATGCCAGTCCAACGGAACGGGCCTAGCTCTCCGTGCTTCTGATTGCCAAGCAGACCCTGCTGCAGGGACTCACCATGTTCGGCTGCCACCCTTCGACATTGACACAGCGATCGATACACCACCAGAAGTCATCCTCAGATTCTCCCTTCCAGGCAAAGACAGGGAACCCTGGAAGAGAAACAGGGAGTGCCTTCCAATGGGCAGAAGAAGGATCACCATTCACCCAGCGACCCCAACGGATCGTCACACCCCCGTCCCATGGTCTGTTGAACCACCTTCAACCAAGCACCCCAAACCTTACAGCATGTGAGGGATTCCCTCCAGCGCGCCAGAAACACAAACCCTTACCGCTCTCAGCCAGGGCGGCTGCCACTTCGTTGAGGGTGGAGTAGATGTTGCAGGCGGCCCACCGGCACTGAGCCCCCAAGGCACCGAGAGTTTCCATGAGAACCTGGATCAAGGAGAACTGTGAGCGGCGGGTGGGGGAATGGCCAGGGGTACTCAATGCCCCCCCCCCGGGCCAACCTAAATGCTGGATTTCATTAACCACTACTTGTTACGGTTATTTTTATTTTCTATTTTAGCATGGATCATGCACATACTTGAGGGTATTTTAAGTACCAATAGCTCATTTTATACAGTTGTCAAATTTGCTGCATGTAGAAAGATATGACAGCTTAGGAACCTCCAGTCTGTAATATTAATTTCCTTCCAAATGCTAGGATTGTGGATGCCCAAATTTTGCTTCCATTTTCTCCTCTTCAAAACCAGCTACTGTATACTTCTCACTCTAGAGGTGGTCCTCATTTAGTGATCCCAATTGGGACTGGCCACTTGGTGGTTAAGTGAAGCGGTCCCTAAGTGAACCCATGACGGTGCTTACGATCTTCCTTCAGCTTTCCTTAGTTTTACAGACCTGCGAAGGTCGAAAATGCGAGGATTGGTCGCACTTTTTCTTCACCATTGTAACTGTGAATGGTCACTAAACAAGGGAGTTGCTAAATGAGGATGACCTGTACATACCTAGAAGATGCCCAAGAAACTCACATGGGATCAATCCACCAAGTGCCATCAACTGGGTCATTAAAAGAAAACACACAGACCCACAATCACACACAAAAGGGTGGCTGGAAGAGCAGGAATGGCAAGTGGCGGTGGCAGTGGGCCACTCAAGAAACAAGCCATGCCCAGAGCTGAAGAAGTGGTTATTTCAGCTGAAGCATCTAGTGGCATGTTTGGCATCATCCTAAACGAAAAATAGGGGTCCCTGAAAGCAACCAGGTAAGGGAAGGGAGGAGGGCAAGTGATGGGGTTTCTCTCCCACTATCAAATTTGAGCATGAGCCCATCACAAAAGGAGAAAGCGTGCATGGATGAGCATGTGTGACAGACAGCTGCTTCAGCTGTCCCCTAGACCATGATACCCTGCGTTGTCGGTGTATGGGACTATGAGAGGTTAAAATGGTGGTCTAAGTCAGGTATGAGGGTGGGGGGTGGGGGTGGTAGCCTACAGACATCCCGGTAGCTGGACTCCAGAAGTATGACAATCCCAGCCCAACTGGCTGCCAGCAACTGTAAATTCTCTAAAAAAAGGTGCCAGTTTCTTGAACTCCCAAGTGAAAGAGGACTTCTGTAGGCAGGATTTCCCAGGGCTTTCCTGGAGCAGCCTACCCAGCCCCCGGGTCGTCTCCTCTCCTTGCCTGCTCCAGGCAAAGAACCGCCTCAGGCACTCGTGGGGACCGCGTGGCGTCACTTACAGCAGTTTGAGCCGTGATGTGAGTACAACCCACGATCTTGGCTCCGGCCAATGGCTTCTCTCCCTGAGCACGTTTCCTCAAGGCCATGAGCGCAGGCATTTCTAGGAAGGAAGAGAAGGAAAACGCGGTCCAGCAGAAGACAGGAAACGCTGAGTTTAAAACTGGGCCAGGAAGGGGTGGGGGAAGATGAAAGGAAAAAAATCCCAGTCTGCCCTAAGACGAGCTTACACTGTTGAGGGGCTTTCAAGCATTTCTTCTCTCCCCTTCTACCCAAAGTTGCATCAATAACTAAATCTACTTATTTAAAATCAAGATAAATGAAAACAAAATGGCGAGCCCGGCTAACATCTTAAAGACATATCCCTGGCCAATACAGCCCAGGGCCTGGGATTTACCGGAATTCCTAACGGGAATTCTTTATTTTTATGTACATAGATTTAAAATCGCTTGACTCCCAATGAATCCGGGCACTTTGCACAATGCATTTAGGGATCTTTGGCCTGGAGGAATGAAGGAAACAGATGGGAGCCCTCCTGCAGCTCTGAAGCAGGCCTGCCCTAAAGCTGCTTCTCCAAAGTTTTTTAAAAGCCCCAAATGGGAGGTCTCTCTGCCCCCCTTCTCCACTCCAGGTGGCTTCTTCCAGAGACTAGCTCATCTTAAACCACCTTCAGAGTCCCCATCACATCTCCCTAGATGGGGGAAAGAGGGGAGGAGAGAGAGAGCGAGAGATCAGCAGAAATAGCTCATTTGTACCAGCAGGATTACAGTTTTGTGGGTTTTTTGCAGCATGACTGGAACCTGGGAATTAATTCGGCTCTGCTCTCTTTCGTAGCTCTGGCACCAAACAGTTCAGCGATCTGATCACAGCCAAGGGATTAAAGCAAAGAGTGGAGGGAACTTTACAAAGATGCCAGGAGCAGCCAAAGGCATTCTCGTCAGTTCTCACGCAAAGGAATTCTTAGGAAAAAAAAATACTAAGGTGCTTTTTGACAAACACGTTCAACTACACAAGGATCTTAAAAAATGACGGTCTCTGTGCTCACAGGACGTGTGGTACAAAAGTAAACAATCCGTATGGTCTGGTTCCCACAATCTGCTCAGATGGTGATGGGCAGAACGATGAATATCAAACCACAAAATACCCTTCTCCATTTTAGTTTTATCTAGGGCAGTGTTGTCCAAACTTGGCCACTTTAAGATGAGTGGACTTCAACTCCCAGAATTCCCCAGCCAGCATGGGAGTTGAAGTCCA